TTCGAGTTGCCACACTACATTAGCACAGAGATGCAGTGGTTGATTAAAATCCCGTAATGGTAGAGATAGTAAGAGTATAAGCAGTAATCGGGAAAATTAGTGTTTGGAGATGTTATTTAAAGAGTATAATACAGTGAAATAAATTTGGGAAGAGAAAAAAAAGGAGACGGGGAGGAATAAGGAGATAAAAATTTGGGCGAACACAAAGAGTGTATGCACCTGCAAACGATTTTGAGCCATGTCATTCAGGGTCTCTCGTCCATTGTCTGAGATAGATACTTGTCTCTATCCGACACGTATTGGAATCCACTGGTGGTTTAGAATTTAAGCGTTTGCACGCGAGATTGGAGGTTCTGGGTTTGAGTCCCGCATGTGGGATCGTGGACGCGTACTGCTGAGAAGTCCCATACTAGGAAGAAACGACCATCCAGGTTTTCAATGGCGATATAACATGGATCGATTAATGAATTCAACTATTAAGATTACCACGATCTCCACAAGCCCTCACTGTGATAACCAAAATGACATATAACTCTCTTTTCAGACCCGCCCAATCACATCGTGTAGTGATTTGATGGTCACAAGTTAAGCCTGATAATTAAGTCCGAATTTTGCTGGAAGATGAGATACCAGCGAAATTTATATTCTTTAACTGCCCAAATGAGATTCTACTTTAGCCCCATCAATAGGAGTGAGCCTATTTATTTATTTGAACACATAAATATTGGTACAAGAGAGCGCCAACATATATGCGCCACACAAAACAATGAGAATTCGAAGAGAAAAGAAAAGAAAAAAAAGAGAACAATAACGAAGAGATTGGTGTAAGGTAGTGTGGTAGTAATGAGGGAACGGAAAGGCACAATCGGAAATCTTTCAGGTAAGGGAGACACAACCACTTTTTATGAAGAAAGTAAAAGAAGGTTACAGCAGGATCGCCACTGGCTTCTATTCTGAGCCATATCTGATAACGTCTCTAGCCACTGTGTAGCACCATCTCTCAGACCCCAACCAGGGAGTCGTGAAGGACCAACACACGCCAGTCCTTTGCAGCTTTCTTTCATACCACGACACCATGTCATGCAATGACCACCTCTCCGCTTCTTCCAACCAGTCCCAGAGTCGGCAAATAATGCACGACGTGGAATTCTCTGGGACGACATTCGTAGAACATGTCCAAGCCACCGAAGTCGGTGTTTCAAGATGTTGACACCAATTGAATTATCATCTCTGTGCCCGAACACACGATGCCGAACCTCTGCATTACTGACATGGTGTTGCCACTGAATGTCAGCAATCCTTCGGAGACAGCGATGATCGAACACAGAGAGTCGTCTAACGTCGTCAACTCGGAGAGGCCAGGTTTCACAAGCATAGAGCAAAACTGCTCTCACCGACGCGTTGTAGATCCGACATTTTACAGCCAGACTAACATCACGAAGGCGCCAGAGGTGGCCCAGATTGGCATAAGCCGCTCTGGCTTTCACTATACGTGCATTGATCTCATCACTCATACCCCCCACCAGCACATATGCAGCTACCCAGATACACGAACTTCTCGACTACGTCTATCTGCTCACCATCCAGGGTGAGTACAGGATTGGAATCCTGCCAGTCTTGTAGAAGTACTTTGCACTTCAAAGGTGCAAAACACATACCATACCTACGGACGCTGATTGCCAACTGATTAAGTGCGGATTGCATGCCTTGGGCATTATCGCACAGTAAGACAATATCGTCCGCATACTGAAGGTCGAGAAGTCTTTCTCCAGGCAACAGATCCACACCACCATGCTGCAGCTATGCTCAGATAACCGCCTCTTTCTTGCAAATACTAACTTTAAGCATAAGAAAAAACATCTTTTGACATGGCGACCCCCTAATTCGTCCCAACGTTGGACCCAAATAGATCACACCGCCATTACTTACATCCATCAGAGCTGTTTCCAGAATGTCGGTGACGGCAAAGTTGAAGAGGAATGGTGAGATTGGGCAACCCTGTCTAACCCAACTGCTTGAATGAAACAATGGAGAAAGGTGGTTGTATACCCTCACTCTACCCGAGTGTTAATATACTTCTCAGACATACCTTTCTTCAATCGACAATCCCAGAGAACAGTCCTGTTCAACGAATCGATGGCAGCCCTGATGTCAAGAAATACTACGATTGTTGGCCTTTGATAAGTATGGCAGTGTTCTAACATTTGGTGGAGGGTGAAGATATGATCAATACATCCACGACCAGAACGAAAACCAGCCCGCTCCTCGCGAGTCAATCTTTCTCGGGTTTTGAACAACCTACGAAGTATGACAGAAGCCAACAGCTTGGACGCAATCGGATGTAGACTTATCCCCCGATAGTTGTTACAGGAACAATGTGAACCCTTTTTAAAGATAGGGACAACTATCGACTCATTCCATGATGTTTAAACACTCTAGTTCCCAGACCTTTGTAAACAACACAGTCCTTTAGCCAGAAAGTCACCACCATCTTTAAAAAGGGCCGGAGGTAAGTCATTTGGGCCTGGTGATTTGTAGCGCTACAAGAGTTGGAGTTCCTTGCGGACTTCCGCCTCATTTAGTGGATCAGTCGTCACCGGCCATGGAGGGCAGGCCAGTCTGACCGATGTTGCCGGAGCAGCAGGCCAGTTGAACTGCCCTTCGAAGAATTCTGCCCATCGTCCAAGACGTCGACGGATGTTAGTGATTGGCATCCCATCATCCTCACAGATTGTTTCACTCACAGCAGACTTCTTGCTGCCAGTGGCTCGGATGAGCTGAAAGAGCTTCCGGTAATTACCAGATGCAGCTGCTGCTTCCAACTCATTAGCACGCTTCGACCACCAGGCTTCTCGGTCCTTACGCAAGCTTTGCCCGATTTCCTTACGTAACATCCTTCGTTTATGGTCAGACTCACGGTCACCCGGAGTAGACCGACGGGCTTCAATGAGTTGTAAGGAACCTGCAGAAACCCAGTGCTTATAAGCGGGACGTTTCGCGAACCCACAACTGACTGTTCCCGCCATTTTCATGGCGTCATGCAATTGAAACCAATCCTCATCTATACTTTTCGGTGGAATGGTAGCTAGCCTAGAAGCTAGCTCGGTTCGATACTTACTCGCAACAGAAATTGCAACCAGCTTGCTAACATCAATCCGTTGATGGCGATCACATCGTTGGCCACTGAAAAGTAAGGCAAGATTGGCGCAGACCAAGGCATGGTCAGAGTCCAGATAGGTACTCCAAAAGGAGCGGCAGTCTTGTACACAGCCACGCCAGCGGTAGCTGATCGCGATGTGATCAATCTGAGTCCAGGCTTGAGATGCAGGGGGAGGACGCCAGGTGGCACATCGGCGATGACTGTGCCGAAAGTTAGTGCTAGCCAGAAACAGGTTGTGGTCTGTGCAAAGTTGCAGTAGACGGTCCCCGTTATCTGACCTGCGACCAACGAGTCCCCATCGCCCACCTAAACGACCATCTTCTGTGCCTAGATGCCCGACCTGAGCATTCAAGTCTCCGGCTAGTACTACAATATCTGTCGAACGCACTTTCTGGAGAAGAACAGATAACTGGTGTTAAAACTCATCCTTGATTGCATCCGGGCTGAAATCTGTCGGGGCATAGGCGGAGATGACGAAAAGACATCGTTTCTCACGCCGATTTCTTCTCACTTTGATGGAACTTTCTAATCTAACAGCACATAACCTACTGTTAATGAGGATCCAATCGATTAGTGCTGCCTCAGCTCTAGCGCTTAGTGCGACACCAACGCCAGCAAGACTAGACGAAGATGCCACAGGGTCCCCGGATAAGCGCACGTAAAACAAGCTTTTCGAAGCGACAGATGGAGATCGAATTTGTAGTACTTCGCCAGAGTCTTGAATGCGGGTCTCGGATAAACAACAAACATCAACATTAAGACTTTCCAAAGACATAGCCAGCCCTATCTGTTGTCCGACCTGCGTAAATGTGCGAACGTTGAAGGCAGCCAGTTTGAATAGTGCACGTGGTTTCAGAAAAACTGCTTCAGTCCTCGTATTCGGTGGTAACATACAACTTTGGAGCAGTACAGCTATTCTTAATTACAGAAGCGATAATTATAGAAAAAGATATACTTATTCGCAACAACCTAACATTAAAAATGGTTAGTTACTAGTTTATTTTGCGACCATTAGTTAAAAAAGTGCCAGTGAAGAACTTTGTGACTATCCATAAAGTGTATAGAACTCCCACCATCCACCAAAACGCATACTAGTAGTTAGAAAGATGAATAATTTATGTATACCTCTTCTACTCAAAATATCTTCTAATTGGACTATCAGATTCATAATTTTTCACCTTAAAGTTTATAGTATTTGGGCTGGGTACGCTTTAGAAACTAAAAGCCATACATAATGAGCGGTAGAGTAAAATCTTTGAGTGAAAACCGGAGAACACTTAGGATACACTATTCGGTGATTATTTGCTAAAGATATGGAATGTTTCATGGGCTTTTGTAGAGCTGTTCCATAGTGTAACCGATAAGAATCGGAATTATTTCTTTCAGTCTGTTTTGTACTATTTCACAGCTTAAAAGCTATTTTTACGAACGAACATAAAGTTACAGATATTCGATAATATATTTTGATTTTGATAACTTTTAAAATGCACTGACTAACATGAATTGAAACGAAATGATTACGTTTATTTTTGAACTACATAAAGAACAAAAACATTATGCAAAACAATACATTGATTTGAACGGCGGCTTAGAAGCTAAGGAATTCAACTTTTAAATAATAGGTCGAGAAGTTGAGTCTTACTTCACATACTTCTGTTCGAACAACCGGAAATAATCACTAAAGCTCACACAAAAAGCGTAACACAAGCTGAGTACAAGGATATGTACTTAGTGAATTGCACAAATAAATAAAAATGACGCAATCAATCATTATCAAATTATTTTATAGAATAAACAAATTAATCTGAATAGGCACATTTCTGTACAATTACAATGCTTTTTATTGTTCAGTCCAGATATGGTGACATTTCATACAAGAATACTTGGTTGTGCTGGGTTCGTCAGCTGAACGTGTCTGCATTTGGACAAAATACGCTCGCGTATGACCGCACTTAGGACACTTTTCATCTGTCTGAGCAGAAGAACTATATTCATCTTCAACCGAGAAAACGGCGTCTTCCTCTAAACGTAAACGAACATCCTGTCTTGGCTTATGTTCTAAAACTAGTGGCTGAGTGACAAACCATCTGTAAGAACATAAGGGAGCAGAACAGTTCAGCGAATAGCAATGAGCTGACTCTTCGATCATCAATAAAGAGTGACAGAGGGGACAAAATAAAACAGGCATTACGCTGGATACTAAAGCGTAAACAATATCTAATTAGCAGGTAACCACATACCGTTACATGGAGAGGTTAGAAAATGCCTGAAAAGAAAAATAATATGGTAAAAATGAAGCTATAATTTCACAGAACTGAGTAGATCTTGGATAATGAGTCTTTCTTGGAGGTTAGTGGTTAAAGCATTTGGGTTGTAACCACTAGATTGGGGATTTCAATTCTCATCTATTTCAAATTGGGAAGCCAGAGAGCTACTGATCCTCATGTAGGAAGTGCAGTTCAAAGCGAAATGTACGGACGAGAACTTAGAATGGTCTACATGATTATTTGCTCGTAGTTTACGGTTTTTACGAGAATAATAAATCAAAAGGAATGTCCGCACAACTATCTACGCCTGATATTGGGAACAGCTAATACTGTATGAACTTTGCAACGTAGCAGAGAGTGGATAGGCCTATTCATATTACTAGTAAACAGAAACGTTAACAATAATTTGCAAGCACACTTCGGACGCTGTAATCAGGACCAGAGGACGTTGGCTTTCTTCAAATACATCTAAAATATAACATTGTTTTGTAGTAGGTCCAAACCTAAACAACAGTTTACGGAAAGTGCATATTGACGAATCATTACTTTAAATCGATACATAACACGTATCAGTTGCTACATCTAAGTAACAAGATTTCAAAAAGCTGCCTTATACTGGGCTTTCCAAAAAACAGAGAATTCCCCAATAAGTTTTTTTCTATTACGTTTGTTGGTGACCACTGATGATCAATAAGAATTTTGTGTTAATTTGACACCCTGCGTGTAGATACGAACGCTGATCAACATACTTAAATTCTAATAACCAAATAGTATTAGCCTTTTGGTAAGACAAACCTATATTTATTTAATGAGCTTTTTTTTATCTTTGCGTGTGTACCTAATCTAAAACATTCATACAATAACTTGTCCAGAAACAATTATATAAAAGGATGTGAGAACTTGGGGAACTGTGTTACGAAGCATAAAATTAGTATAAGTCGCAATGATTATCTTAATGAATGGAGATAATTTTACTTTTGAATAGACCTAAGATTGCTCGCCTGTTACACCTAAACGGAGTCAGATACCGCTTTCAGATAAAAAGAATACTTGATGTGATGATTGTAACATACAGTAAAAACAGGACGAACTGATTTGATTTACCTAAGAGTCAGTACGATGAATTGAAATTTAAGCACTTATACATCTTAGGATTAGCCACCTATATATGCTAGCGGGACATAGACTAGATTAAAGCATGCTCAATGCATGATTGTTTTGGTGCACGCTGATTGACTGATTCTTATCCAATCAGCACTAGTCGATAGTCGGAGAATACTCTGGAATCTTCTTATGTAAAAACTATAAATATACCGACGTTTTCCCCTATTGTGCTTCCTACTGGCTTCTGACTTGCTATTTGGAATATAATCTTTTTCCTGTTCAACCGTGTTCTGATTTGGGGACTTGTCGAGTGAATCGGTGTCCGAGAATACTAAGCAATAGGAATCGCTGGGTCATTAACCGTAAGAAGAAACAGAATTATAACAATATAATATAAAACTGGTTTAGAAATACCGTTGAATCTATTGTAGAAAAAAATTTTTTTAGATAATGTGAAGCAAATGTCTGCCTTCTACAAAATAGTCTAGTGAGTAACTAAAGAACTCTATAACGCCAACCTAGAATGGATGTCTTTTGTTATTTTACCATTAGTGCACTATGAAAATAATATCGATGCAACAAAAAAGGTTTTGGAAAAGTTAATTAAATGTTGAAATGCATGCATACAGGTGACAATGCACCAAATTGTTGCCTTTTCCTCCAACTTGCACGGTGATAGTGGAGGCTTTCTCTTAAATTCCCCCATTGAGGCGAAATGCCTCGAAACTAACACCTTAACTTTTCTCCAAAATTAAAACTAAATTACTTCCTCCAAGTAGTAATACTGGAGTCAACAATTCGGTATTATTTAACACCAAATTGTCTACGCTACAGAATTAACGACGAGCTATCCATTGTTCCGCAATAATAAGTCAAGCAATCGACATTTTGTACGATTTCTACATGTTCGATTAGAATGAACAGACTAATCTACTACATTGTTAACTAGTACAAGCGATATCAGTCTCTCAATTTCGGGAAGGCTGGAATAGAAGACTTTGGGTAAATAAGACAAAAATCACGAAATTTCGGCTCATCCGGGGTTTTGAGGAAATCCCTAAAACCTATGGGAATCTCGAGTTCCCCCCAATATTTCCTCACACTTTGAGGAAAGCTGCGTACTTCCATATAACTTTGGGAATACCCTCTCAAATTCTCAGAGATTCGGAGACTGGGATCTCCTGTATTTCGATTGAAACACGAAAAAAACATAATGGCCGATTAAAGATCAATACCGCAGAAGGGCTGGTTAGTGCTACACGAGATAGTTTTAGTTCTCAATATTATCATAGGTCATGGGGATATGACCACGGATATCCTCGTTTGAAATATTTTAAACGAGGGTATCGTATGATACGATGAAGAGTAAGGACATTGTTACACAAGCCCGATTAACTCTAAAAACCAAGCCTTTTCTAGATTTCGATAGGAAATTTAATAACTAGCTTATTGGAAGTTACCGAATGAAGTGAAGTCAACTACATTACATAAACCACACAATCAAACGAGAAATACAAGGCAAAACAAGGTAACGCTTCAGGGATATCGTCCACTAATTCAGGTTGCGAGTAATTGAAGGTCAAACTGTCGTAAGATGATCGGGGCGTCACATCGACAATTCGTGAAGTTTTGCAGGAGCGATCAAATCAAGAAACTTTCATTTGAACTCAGTTTAGCCACACTATATCTGATAACGTCCATCCTTCAAGTAACGAAGACGATGCCGTCGTGATGATGCATGATATAGGACGAATTTTCAATGATATGTTATTGCAACGATTTACAAGTTGGGACAATTTTGAGACCTATTTGAAAGAAGTTCATAAGGTGATATGACTCCTGCGGTTAATAATCACTTTCGTAGTACACGCATAGTAAGTACGTTATTTCAGTATGTAAAAAGAACGATGATGACCCAACTCTAAAGTATTTTTTCGTCAGAAATGTTTGTACATATGAACGTAAACCCAGTTCGTCAGAATTAGATGCTTGTGTTCATGATGTAGATTATGATAGTGATCATCATTCTCCCTAAGAGCATACAACTTCTAAATCACCACAACAATCTAGACAAAGAAGACGACGTCAGTCATTTACGTATGCCCTATTTCGAGAGAATTTATCCTTCAGATCAAAATATTACGATTGTCAATCCGGATTTTGGTTCCACGCGCAGTAAACGGTGAGCTGAAAGTCACCTCTATTAAGACTGCGCACAACCAGAGCTCCCAAGTTTGGGGAAATTTCGGGGAATTTTAGTTAACCATCCTTGCACAGAAGGATATAATTCTGTAGATCCTTCAAGACGACAAATGACGTCAATTGAACGCTTATATTGAAAAAAGTTTCTATTGAGTAATACGCCAACTCGTAGCTTACGTCAACTGGTTTCTTGCAAGTCGCACAAAAAGCTTACCAAGGTCAAAGACAGACCATTTCAAAGGAACCCGCCGTTTCGTCTCAACGACCTTGAACGGCCTGACAATTGAGTTTGTTGGGTGTCTGTTTGATGGGTGGTTTTATCCGCAACGCAACCATGTAAGCCTGATGTATGTATGTATGTATGCATGTATTTTAAATTTTCATACGTTTAAATCGTCTTGTGCTGCAGTGGAATCACGAAATCACTGCGAAAAGCATTAATTTAGCTTCCTCTGTTTCGTAGAGCACACGTAGGCTCTATTGTTGGTTCGTTACTTGACCTGGGATACCAATCACTCTGCTGAACCTCACTGTCCTTGATTAAAATTTTTTGAGGTCCATGAAGCAGAATTAAAGATACTCGAAGTTTGTGTGAATCGCTATTTTACTCAGGGATTAAGACGAAATGTCGAGTAACCGGTAAGTCCTAAATGTTTGTAGTACCCAATCAACCATCAAAGGAGAAATAAATGGGAAAATGCGTTGGAAAATAAAGAGTAAATGAAAGGGAAACGCGCCAAAATGTCTGCTTTTTCGCCTGTCCGGGGGAAATAATGCAGATTTCTCACTTTTTGTCGCTCTGTCTCTCAAATGTCGCTGAAATGTCTACTTATCGCCTAAATACACGCTGAATCGTCTACTTTAGTTCCAACTTTTAAAACGCCATTGGTATAACCCCAAAGGTCTCCTATGTTTGCCTTTATTCCCACAACACACCACTCTGAAACTGCAATCCACGTGAAAAATGTTGTATGTTGAAATAAATTTATTGAAAAGAAAGAGCGTTTTATTAGACAACATTATGGCAGAAGCTTGAGCATTAATTGTTATGCATTTTCATTGTAATTGCAAATTCATTGTTATTTGAAAAGATCTGCAAAAGAAAAAAACAGGTGATGTATTATTAATAAGGCATGTGTACTTAACTGCAAGTTCACTGAAAATCAAACACACTTTCCACGGATCACTTTTTTAGGCACGACTCTTCGGCTATCGAGAATCGAAATAATCTTCTAGTGAATATTGAAGTGTAAAGAACGAAAAAAGTTACATTGATATCTGAATGACATGCTTTGGTACAGCCGGGTACTTGAAGCTTCACTTACAGTTATGTTCGTTAACACTGTAGACTGTACCTATATAGCAGTAGGGAAGTTATCACTTTAAACTACTACACACCTGTCCCTGTTTCCTTCGATTACGCTTCATTAATTTGTCGCGATTGTGTCGCGATATCGTACAGTTTTGCAGTCTTTTGTGTGATAATTCTATCCATAGACTAGCCCGTTTTTTGTGACACCTGGGTACACCATGTGCATGGGATCTAAGGGAAAAGTTAAGATCATATTAATTGAAA